TTTCCTCCTGGTATGTTTGTTTTGTAAAGTTGTTGGAACTAAGGGAGTCTGAAGTTAATGAAAATTATTTTTTCTCAAGTTTGTCATAACGATTGAGTGACTAAAATTAATCGGATCAACTTGATACTTTACGGTAGTTTGAATTAATGTCCTCCTGGCTTAATTTGAACCATTGCGAAACTGAACGGTTAATTATAGATACTTTCACGCTTATATTTGTCGTTTTAAATTAACTTGAATTCAATTTCGTGATTTCTCTTATATTTCGACTGTTGTTAAAAGACTTTCTATAAAAATTAGGTTTTTTCCTTTCTCAATCACAAATTTTATTTAACGGATGTAAACTGTAACTGTTTCTCACAACAGTTTAAATAGAGAAACTGTAATGATCAAGAAAAAGTATATCGCTCAACAGTAAAGCATCTGAAGGGACAAAAGCAATTACCGAAGCCTTGAAAACAAATCAGACATTAACAACTCTTTCTGTATTCGTCTATGAGTTTTAATTAAGAAAGAATATTTAAGAGATAGTGTTTTGATTTCGATCGTTTTCGACCCAATATCAAACACTCGTTCAACCTTCATTTGAGAATGGTTCTAAGAAAAAGTATCATTTTTCATGAACTTCTGCAACAGGTAACATTCGAATACCCGGTTTATTCATCGTGGAGACTGATATAGCAGAACACAGAACTTTACTTGGTGTGATTATTATCATCCGCAGGCAGTTCGTTCGTTTAAGGCCGCTGGGACCCATAGGACCAAAAACTTCTATGGACTGTGTCCTATGGCCTCTGTTTCTCGTCATACGGACGCTGTATATCTGTAGCCATGAGATGCAACTAACTAAAGTTTTTTGTTGTATACAAGGACACTATTTATCGTAAAAATCAGACCTGACTAAAACAACGAAAAACACACGAAACGTTTCCCATTTATTTCAGAAAGTCTATGCCCGCAACCCAAGAATTACCACAATTTCCCTACGAAGAGTGCAACGAAACACAGTCATAAAAGCGAATACTGATCAGAGTCATCTTTAGGGCTGTCAAAGCGGAAAGACTCTTTCCCAGTCTCCCGATCATACACAGGAGCAGAAGCAATTGCAGAAGCCTTGAAAATAAGCCAAACATTAGGAAATGTTGATTTTTGTTGGAATGTCAGATGAAGGCCCGAGATCGGTTGCAGAAGCCTGGAAAATAAACTGAACATCGGTAACGCTTTATGGATACTACAACAATATATAGTTGATAGAAAGCGATAAACCAGATGGTATTGTACACAAGCGATGCCATCTTTACAGTTGCTGGTTTCCTGACGTACATGATTGATCTTGATGGGATTTCCTAGTTCGATGGAACGTATTTTTCTGCTGAAAGTGCGGTCATTTTTCTGGCTTTGTAGTATCTCGTTGACAAACTTGTTTTGTTAGCTTATGGCATGTTTTGGGCTATGCGTTTTGCATGCAGTTGAATTGGTAGTAAACTCTAAAAATGATGCATTTGGGAAAGACAGCAGGTTCTTTTTAATGAACGTCATCAGTTTCTTATCAAGAGATTTTCATATATAGTTGATGTGAGAAAGTAACTCACAGAACCACAAAACCGAATACCAGGAATCGCAAAGAAACAGCCGCACAAGAGTTCTAACTTTTCCTCTTCACCCTCAGCATGACCAGTGCAAGTAGCGTGGATGTTCACGGCTCGAACAATTGCTTTTGCCCATTCAGATGATACATTGTTGGACGATATATTGAGAGTTCAATTATCACTTTGTCAAGAGCATATTTTGATACACATATACATGTTTACATCCACCCAATTAGTTTTATTTAGATCGTGTGAGGGAGGAGTTCACGAGAGGAAATGTTGGTGTGAAGTAAACGACAGGAAGGAAGAAAGCCAGGAAGGGCTATTGAACCGTAATAAAATTTTATGTTCTTATGCTAAATGTTATGCTTTATGCTAAATATCACGGAAAAACACAGCCAAAATTTAGCTTGAAATTACAAGAGCTTGGGACAGTTCTTCTTTATGAAATTTAACAAAGTTAAACGAGAAAACGAGATATGTTCTTAAACCTTGGATTTTACAGTAAAATCAATTTTGCTAAGCTCAGGAGGATTTATACGAAAAATAAGGTAAAATTTAGAATCACCGTACAAAGCTGCATCGAATGACGTACAACTCGACGATATTCTGCAAAGTTTTTACCATATCAAAGCCAGAAAGTGTTGTCGTCTTCTACTATACATAAAAGGCGATGAACGATCTTCTTCTCAAAAGATTTTTGCTCGCCGCCTGCAGCGGCTCGCAATGCACGTTTCAAGTGTCCAACTATGGACCTTGACCTGCATGTACACTCTCTAAAAAGTTGCTGAACACTTTCAAGAGAGCAAGTATTAGCAGAGTCTGGAAGAAAAATAACCGTATAATCACTCATATTTTCGGTTACTTATATAGGTGAATGAGAGCAAAACAAAGGGGTGAATGAAAGTAGAGCCATAAAATCTTATTAAGATCTTAAACGATAAGATCTTAGATTATCTTATCAAAATCTTAAAGGATAAGACCTTATAAGATCTTAGTAAGATTATTTTAAGAAGTGTCTAAGATTTTTACTAGGGATAGGACAATTGTCGAAATACTCGACAGATATCATGATTTTCACCTATCTTAAGGCTTTAGAAGAATATTTCTTCTACATCTTTGCTCAGAACAGGAATGTTTTATATATCGGAAGATAGAGAATTTTCTGGGCTTCGAAATGAACTACAATATTTTGTTTTAAAAGTTTGTCCTCTTAGATTTATTTGCTAAACACTGGGTAGACTTCTCGATTTTTACCCCTAGTAATATATAAAAATAATCACAGTTTCTTCAGGTCAGAAGTGTTGGGAAGTGAAAAGGGAAGCATTTCTGATCAGTTTCACTCAAAATCATATTGGGCCATATTCTAGCGGAAACTGTTTCCTGTCCTTTAACTAATGTTAGATTGAATAATTGTAAAGTATAGGCAGTTGGTTTCAGTTTTAGTATCTTCGTAAAATTAATTTTACAACTAGTGAATCTGTATGTATGCGTTTTACGTACGCAAATTTTACTGACACTGCTTTTCCACTACCGGCAGCAACCCAAATTGTCCATGAGGGGTTATGAACTTTTTATTGCCAAAATTAGAGTAGACTTTTAAGTGGCTTCCACGAAAAAATGGAATTTTTTCAACTCCTAAACGTTTACTAGTAATTAGGGGTGGCACTTTCCCATTATCGTTACTGTAACGGGTAATAGAAACCCGTTACCTGTTACCAGTAACGGCAACGAAAATCCGTTACTCGTGTTACTTTTGGAAAGTAACGGGCGAATTATATTTTTATGAAGAAGAATTATAATAAATGCTTCATTCTAATGATTTACTGCTTATATCTTTCCTAAATGAACATAAGAATTATTCAGCGCAATAGTACATGAAGCTTACAGAGTTACAGTTCATATCACCGGACTTCGAAATTCTGAAATGCGATTTGAGTCCAGAGGAATGCGATATTCGGATCAGTATGGTCGGTTGCCTCTGGGTCCATGATTTTAGTCCGGGGTACCTCCGAAAATTAAATTCGGGAGCCTTAAAAGTAATTTTTTAAAGGTAGAAATATGAAACTTTTAAAAAAAATTTTCATTAGTTACAGAAGTTTAACAAAATAAATAACGGGTTGTCGAAACAAGAACAAGAATCTCTTACCGTTACTTTCCGTTACTTACTTTGTAAAGTAATGGACTTTTGTTACCGTTACTTGTAACAGGTAACGGCTTTCCCTTACCCGTTACCGGTAACAGGTAACGGCTTTCCGTTACCCGTTACTGGTAACAGGTAACGGATTATCGTTCCCGTTACTAGTAACTAGTAACGGAAAACTGTTACTTTTCGGAGTAAAGTAACGGAAAGTAACGGGAAAGTGCCACCCCTACTAGTAATATTATCGTAATATCATATTTGTAATTAGTAGATGGAATCCCTCCTTGATCCCTCTTCGATGATCAAGTGAGGGATATAAGGTATATGTCTCAGAGCAAGGGGTTAAACAACAGCCCAACTGTAGAGCTTTTGAAGGGCTATAAAATATGCTGCTTGAACGTTTTTCCATTAAAGGAAAAACATTTCCGTAACGGTCTTTTTGAAATTATTCTGTTGTAAGTAGATGAAAGAGAAGTTCATTTTCAGAAATCATAGTGTAAGCTTAGACTTCGAGTATCTTTCGTGCATTTTTTCCTTGCGTATTTCACTTCTTTGAACAACGAACCGATGTACCTCCTCTTCAGTTTAAAAGCATTTATCTAAATGCTTCGAGGTACTTTGTTGACACATAATAGCAACACATATGAGTGAATGGCATGGCTGTTGTACCATTTAGCAAAAAAAATTTCGAAAAGTAAGTTGCTTTTAAACAGATGCACCGCGCGTCAGGTTTACCCGGTGCGTTAATCAGAAAAGCTTTTTCCTGACACTTTATACTCAAAACAGTGGAAAAACATGTACTTAATACTTACAGGTGGCTGAATCTCCAAGGTGATTCAGAAAAATGATGTTTTCTCTACACAAATGGTAAGAAAACGTTTTAAAAATCGAATATTTTCTTAAACGGCTGTATCCTTTATCTCAAAAGCTGTGTGTGACCCCACAAACTGGCTCTAAAAAAAGTCTTGCGGCGCAGATTTTTGGAAATTATGAAAATTGAATATAAAAAATTAATGTTTCAAGAAATATTATCGTGTCTAGAAGCTTCATAGTATTCTATTCTTATTCTGCTATCCAGAAGAAGATTTGAGTGTTATGTTAACATTAGTATTGCAATTAACTGATAAATCTAAAACAACCTAATTTTTGAGCCTATTTTTCACACACTTTATTTTTTGGCTATAAAAGCAGTAAAACGTTCTAAGTCCAGGATTTTAGTCTTACTATCTTACACAGAATTTATTATATTTATATTATATTATTATTTCTTATTGTTCCTTAATTTCTCTGCCCATATTCCATTTGCCCATCTTTACCGCTCCATTTGCATACGTATACTTACCATATCCATGTTTTTTACCATCTTCCCATTCACCCGTCCATATATCACCACATATATCACGCTTCACACCGTGTCCACTGATCTTTCCGCCTACAAATTGTCCTTCATACCGGTCACCGTCTTTCCATGTGTACACCCCTCGGCCATCACGATTTCCGCTAATCCAGTTCCCGTCGTATAGACAGCCGTTCGAATAAGTCATATGTCCACGACCACTGAATAGATCGTTTTCAAATCGACCCTCATACTTTCTTTCCTTCTTTCCTACGGCAAAATCGTAAATACCATGTCCATCTTTCTTACCACACTTCCATTCACCATTATAACGATCATCTTTCAATTCACCATCTTTGTAGAACATTGTTCCCGTTCCATTTGGTTTATCTATCACATTTACTTCTCCTACGTATTTATTTCCGTTTGGATAATTGATTGTTTCAGTTGTTTTTTGAATGACTGTGGTACGGACACTTTCGCCGATATCACCACCGATCTGTTTCAAATGAATCACATGTAAGTTTTTATCCAAACTTGATACAACACGCAACTGTGTACCAGGCATTAAAATGATTTCCTTTTCATGTGTATAACGCGTAAATGCCGATATGTCTTTTCCTCTTACACACTGAATTAAAAATAAAGTGCAACTTCCACCTGTCTCATCACCAAGAAAATCTTCGATGACCTTCATTTTTGTCGAACAAGAACTGACAGTCGGCCATGTGATCTCTTGTCCTTCTTTAAACAGTCGACTTAGATCTTTATCAACACCACGGAAGATATCATCGGACAAGGACGGCAGTTTATTTGTAGCTGCGTCGAGTAGTTTCAGATATAAATAAAATTTTAGGTCACTGGATCCATGTTCGCCACGCAGTGCCGCATTCAGACACGAATAGAAACTATCATTTCCAGTTTCCATCGAATATAAATAGATTGCTGCCGATTCGTCATGGGTTAAACCATATCTTGTATCTTTTAAACAGTATTGTTTAGCAGTTCTTGCATTTGTGCTAATCGACGTAACGATATCTACGAGTGGTTCAATCGCCTTCTCTAACGACACGAGTGGCAGCGTTTGGAATATAGGTGGCAAATATTTGCCTGCCGATTCTATGCCTGAAAAGCGTGTGCATTTGCGTGCGGCCATAGCAGTCGGGCTGAAACATAAGGAAAGTTGTAAATACGCAACTATCATTAGCACTCGATGTTTTCGACGTCTCACTCAGTCTTTAGCTGAGCCATGAACAAACATGTTTCCACTTATGAACCTATATAAGTACTGAATTGAAAAGCCTACAAAACACAGTGTGTATACAGGCGGACTTTTGGTGAAAAAATTAAAGTGCACTTTTCCACGATCCAGATAGCAAGTGATATACTTCAGCATTTGCTCTATCTTTTTGCCATGGTTTTTTTTTATAGGACTTGTTTAGATTGAAAAAATCTCACAGACAAAAAGTAGGCTAAAATACAGTATCGCCGGAAAATCAGGTTATTCGAAAAATTAGCCCACATTATTGAAAAAACAAACGCACAGTCATAATCTACAACGAATCCTCCATCGATTGGTAAAAACTTTTTCAAATTTTGGACTTTCCCAGTCCAATGAAAAAGAAAACATTTTTCTGGCGAATTTTTTCGAGAGACGTGCTCGACAAAATGCGCGCGCCAAATTTAGCCTAACTCGAAATTCAATGAAACTTTCATCGATTGTTCCCATATATATGGCACACGCACACAGATAGCGCCAACCAGCGCCGGCTGTTCTAGAGAAAATGGTAGGCTTTCCAAACAACCGTTCGTTTTTCCCCCTTTTCTCCAGCTAAAATAATCTAAAATTCGATGAAAACACCATATTCGAAATCAGCACCAAAAACTGCATCGAGTAATGTATGACAAGAATGACTTCAGGCGAAAAAATAGGGCATTCCACAAAATTATGAAACTGATCCTTTCCTGAATTTTTTTAATTAGGTTTTTGGAAATCAGTTTTGACATCGGCCCGAAGTCTAAAAAAGTTTTTCATATACGTGCTCTTGTGTGCTCGTTCAGACTGGATTCCTTTCGAAGCTCAAAACGAGTTTTTCAGAGGATTTCCAGAGATCCTGTCTCTGGAAAATCCGCTCAAGGTCGGTTCTGGACCTCAAAACGATACCATTAGAAGGAGCACAGACGAAAACCTATATGAATTCTTTGTAGACCTCTAAAGTCCTTCAAAAGCTCATGTCCGCCTGCCTACCCAAAAATGCACACTGTGCAAAACTTACTTCTGAGTAGTATGGTTGTTTTTCTATGTAGAGTTTGCGTTGAAACGAAATTATTCGATGTTTTGAAATAGCAGATTAAAGTGTTTACAACACTCTTTTCTGTAAGTAAAAGGGTGAGTTCCATTGACGCAATGTGTCGTATAGTAAATAAACTTGTAACATGGAGCGCAGATGGTGTGAAGAATGAAATGAAAATGGTCTTCAGTGGGATAGAGAAGAATGTGTATGGCTAATGAAAGATGACTCAGAGAGTTTACAACCAAATATGTCGAGAAAAAAAAAACTGAAAAAGAACATTATTCATTCAAATTTTCTTTTTGTATCGAATACCTTTCTTTACAGCGCTATACTGCTTTTTAGTAGCTGCACTATGACTACTGTAAACGACTTGAGCCCGGATCGTACAAGCTTTGTATGACACATGCCAGAACAGCGATATAAAGGCAGACCTGGCTACTCATCAGTAGAGGAGCACTATGTCACGATAATTCGTTTTCTGTAGAATTAACTCACGAGGGAAGGCCACCAGGTGTTCCCTCGCTTTTGAGCTGAGACTCAGTTGACCGGGGGTAATCGAGCATGCTGATTCCGAATTTCATAATGGTTCGGGCTAATTTTGACTTTAAAGCCCCGGTTTTTGAAGATCTTGGTTTTCAGACCGAAAAACCATTTGTGCTAAAAAAAATTTTTGATCCCTCCGACTGATAGAGTACGTCGCGAAACCTATGGAAAACCACTTTTCAAGGTTTCGTGAGAGGTTCTGAGAGAGTTTTCTACGTCAAAAACTTAAAAAAAGAGAGGAAAAACCAGCCTTTTTACGCAGTATAGTGCAAAAATTGCTCTTTTTTTGCCTTGTTTTTCAACCTATCGAAGGCCTTTAATCAATATCGCTGCGTATATGTGTTAGACATGACACACTCCAACTTTAGTTCAACAGGCCTTCGAAGACGGCAAGGCAGTTTATAAAATTAACTGTGATAATTGTGATGCTGAATACATCGGGAAAACTATAAGACAAACGATAAGAAAATCATTAAGAGTCGTGAAAGGACCAAGAGTTCATCGAATAAGGTTTTCCTCCTTATGGTTCTCCTCGTATAAAATTTGACAATAAAATTAAAATAATTTGTGACTAGGGTAATCTAAACGTATTTAACGTATGAAGATAACAGAGCATAATTTTAATGTGCAGCTCTAATCGTTAACTTCGTTTTAAATTTTTTCAGGGAGAGGGGCAACTTCCAGGGAGAAAGTCTCATTTTTGCAAAAAAAGTCGGTGAGCGAATAAAACCAGAAAATCAAAGTCTGCTAAGAAAGTCTTTTTTCTCTGAGAGAAAATCAATTTTCAGAGAGACTTTCTCCCAAAATTCCAGGAGAGGAAAATTCCCCCTCTTCCCCCCTCCTAATCGAAAACTATGGCCCTAATATCGCTATTTTTATCACAACAAGAGCTTGTTTTTGTTTTTCAGTGGAAGAGCGCAAAAGTTGGAAATGGAAAAATCAGAAAAAGAACGGAAAGAAAGCACAAAAGTTAGAAAACCAAGAAACGAAAAAAGATGTTTTATTTAATTTTTCTCTACTTTTAGATACAATATGTGACTGGAATGAAAAATGTTGGAGATACTCGGTCGACAACGGTAAAAGTAGAGAAAAATCAAATAAGCATAGCAAATGCTTCCGTAGCAAATAATGCCTAAAAATAAATCATTTTAAATATTTCATATAGGTATCATCGATTAACACAGATGAAGAACAAGCCTTAATTAAACCTTCACCAAATAAAATCTCAATTGTTTCCTTAACAATCGGTAACAGACAAGAAGGATGAATACCAATGCCTTTCCTCAATAACGGCAATACACTTTGAATCTAACTCAATAGAATTGTTAAATATTTCTTTTTTAGTCTCCTAAGCAATCACAAACCAACAACGTAAAAAGGAATTGTCTCTTCTATCAGAGATGAGTTTTAGTTTTGATCCACGCAGTACAGGTAGTAGTACATGAAGCGGTTTCTAAGAATTGAAGAAATGAAAGAGCATAAAAAAGAAAAATGTAGTAGATTTTATTCCTTTTCTTCATCACTTTCATTGTGTGTATCAGATTTTAAAAATTTTATGTATTCAGTTGCTGGAGGAGACTGTTATTCTCAAATAGAGTAAAACCAACTTAAGAAGAGGTATTTTTAACGAGGTACATATCGGCATAATCAACAAGTTTTAGTTTCTCTTTTCATAACCATTTTTTTGCATTCTGTCAAGAGAAAAAGGGGTTTTTTTTCTAACGGTTCTGCTTAGCAATTTCCGGAAAAAAGGTAATGTTTCAAGGCATTTTCGAGTTTCTTTTCTTTTTCTGAGTATCAGAATAAAATCTGGGTATTTTTTATAATAAAAAGAAACCCGTTCTGTCTGATTAAACAAACAGTTCTTTATTAATATTTGTCCGCTCATGAAGAGCAGAAAAAAATTAAAAAGAAAAAAGCTCCTTGTCATTGACAACACTTCGACCTATTACAATATTACCTGAAATGACTGTGTCATAAACTAGTTAGAATTAAAATTTTAGATTTTAATTCTAAATTAACAAAAATGCAGAATGTTCGCAGATTTTTTTCTACTGTGGGATATACGTTTATTTCATATATTTCAAATATTTTTGACACAAATAGACATTTTACAGGAAACGAAAAAATCTGCAGCTGGTATAGGCTATTTCTTGGGAAAAGACAAGGCATCAACAAATGTGCGCGATTTCTCTACCCACAGAAAGAGAGACAAGCCCTATTATGATCGGCGATAGAGAAAACAAGAGCTATGAATGATATAATAATCGCCAGCAGATCTAGTAAAAGAAAAGATAGTCAAACGACAAAATTCTTTTGTATATTTCAGCACTTATTTGTGGGTTAGCTTTGCTTGATACATTTTCTATATTAGTTTTATATACAGAATTTCTCGTTACAAAGTAAATTAATAAGTTAGCCGAGATATACATGTGTGTTAGTTCAACGTATGCGTATCAGGTTATACAATTATAAGACAAATTGATTCTCATGATTACTGTTACTAAAATTGGATTATGTATGTAATTCAATTTAAAAAAAGAAAAACTACCTTAAGCAGTGATATTGACGATCCGATATCTCCACAAATTCAGACGATCTTTTTCTGAAAAATAACTAAGCATAATGTGTAACGTGTATACTCGAAGTTAGTGTAAAAAACGCCAGTAACTACTGTCGACTTAATGCGATATCAATTCATCAAGTTGGCAGATTATTAAATTCACAGTGAGAGCGAAAAGATGGAAAACTAAATTCACGCTAAAATAGCAAATTTATTCTTTTTCATTTCGTTCATTAAAACGGAAACATTCTTACATCTTTTACAACCACCATAAGTACGATAATAAAACTGACGCAATTGAGACAGAAGAAGAATAACGCGACATGTTTGGAGCCCTACGTTGAAATATGGTGTTGGAAAACCAGAATATGGTAAGCTGAAAGAAACAAAAAGAACTAAAGGAAAATATCGAGCTTAAAATGTCAAATTTAAATAGAATGTTTCACATACAATGATACATGAACTCTACTCAAATGATTAGCTTTTTCAATTAGCTCTGCCAGCGAGCAATTGATTTGAAAGACTTGCCTACCATGGCCCGAAAAGAAAGTCGGAAAGCCATCTTAGTTGAACAAATTCTTTCAGAACTTGACCATTAATATTTAATTTGTTTAGGTGAATATTCTCTTCGATAAGAAAAAAGTGCTTTGCTTTTGTAAGCAGTCATACTGTGAACCGATAACTCAAAAACTAGGTGGTGTCCTTTTCGAAAAAATAGTCTATCTTAAAGTCCGAGTCCAGTACTCTACATTCGTT